GAATGTAGGAAAATTTAAGGTTATTAAAGTTAACTTTTCTTTTTTAATAATTATACTGATTATAATAAAATATAAGTACTTCTACATTTAAACTGAAATAGTTACATCAAACTGCTTGATCTAATTGTATGATAATCAATAAATAAGAAATATAAAAATAATTAATATTGTAACGATTCCAGTTTAAAGTACTACGGCATAGACAAAACTAAAGATGATTTTATAGAAAAATAAGCTAGATTTTATTTTTGCCCTAAAAATATTAAACTTCTATATAGCATTTACTATTCATTTATTTAAGTGCTTATAGTGTAATGTATAACATAAAATAATCATTAACGTTATATGTAATATTATTTTCAAACTTATGTCACAATAAAACTATTCAGCTGTTACCAATATATAAAATTTGAAAAGTAATAATAATAATGAAGTGTAATATTAATAAAAATATAGAAATTAGTAGTAGTACTGCAAATAAAGATTTTTCATAGTTTGGTAATTTTAATTTATGACAAAAAAAAATAAAATAATAGTAAAATAACAAATTAAAAAAATCTTATGAAATTTGAAAAATTTTATTACGTCTCTTCTTTAATTTTTTTTAACTTTCGATTGTGAAAAGAAGAAAAATGAATAAAACATGTGTTTTACAAATTTCGAATTTTGTATTATTTTCATAGACATGTACAATAAAAGTTTAATTTTTTTCTAAGAATATAGTTTATACAAAGAAATAATAAGTTTTACAAAATTATAAAAATACATCTTTGTATATATATATATATATATATATATACACGACTTATACAGAAAACTTATAAATACAAATATTAAACTTAAAAACTAGGTAGGATTAAAACTTGGAAATATAAAAATAAACTTTTCTTTGATTTTATTTGTTCCATATTGTCCTCGTTTCATTTCTTCTTATCTGTTGACTGTAAATGTATATTTTATCTTTATGAAAATATACATTAATATTTTCCTTTAAATATATTAATATTGAAAGTACAATTATATATTGAAATAAGTAATATTATATTGAAATAAGTAAAGAGCAAAATATGTAGTAGAACTTTAGAATATCTTACAGAAATTTTATAAAAAACAACAATATATTTATAAAAATTATTAAAGATTATAGATAAAGATTAGAGATTTATATATCATAAACATGTATATATTCTATTTATATGTCGCATCAGTTTATAAGTTACAATTCCATATATTTTTATCTACTTTTTTATGCAAAAGCAATTATAGAGAAAAAATTCTTTTGAAACTTACATAATAGAAAAATTGTTGGCCATTCACCACACTGTTTACAATTGTAAAGGGGAAGTGGACCATCTAATCGAATTGGCAATTGATCATAACAATATTTACAGTAAGTATGGCCACATGTTAAAGCTTTTAGATTGCGTTTGAGTTTAATATAGCAATTATTGCATGCGGGAGCACTTTCTGTAAAAATAAATAAAAATCTTTAGTTAATGTATTGTATTATAATAATTTATTTGAGTTAAAAGATAATTACTTAGTTTAGATGATATTAATAAAAATGTTTCAATCGACAAATTTTTTGTTAAATAAAGTAAAACATATTTGAAAGCATTTAATATATTTTATGCAACACCACACGTTTTGCTCTATTTACGCTATCTTATCGTCAACATGACAGATGTCCTAATCTTTTATACTTTTGAATACTTAATAATTTTTTTAATAGAAGCGAATAATACTTTTGTCAGATTTGATTTAAAAAAATACATCAATTAGTACATTATCACCAACATCTGTGATTGTTATCTAACAATAAGCTCAATAATTACCGACTTACCACTGGAAGTTGTTCTGCAAGCTAAACATGTCCATATGCACTGACCTAACATATTAAGTATACAACAATGCATTCTTAACTCTGATTGGAAAGATTCTCTTAAAATATACGCCAATCGATTCATTTCATTGTAAACGGATTGTCGAAAAGACCGTATATTTTGATTTATTTCGTCAACTTCACAGTCGGTGAGATGCATGCGTTTACAAAGTATATTGTGATTACAAAATTCATTAGTGCATTTTACAACTTTATGACGCATCTTGCATGGATTTCTCGAACATACGCGAAGCATAAAGTCACGACAAATCATATTTAAAATTTTACAAGAAAAGCAAAAAAAACATCACCAGCTATAGTAAACGACACGAGCTATAGTAAACGACAGGATGGATTTTATTATGTTGTGCCACCAGGAGGTGAGTGATTTTGCTCCTTCAACCTCTACTAATAGGTTATGATACAAGATTTGAGGATTAAGTTCCGCTTGGTGCTTGCAAATCATAAGCACAGCATAAGACCGCTGGACCAATAAGCATTCAGCATAAAGTGATAGTGAAGATTCGCCATAATGATTTACACATTTATTGATTCTCATTGGTCCAGCGGTCTTATTTTGTACTTATGCACTGTTATGCATTTTATATGCTCCCGGCCTTAAAGACCCCTAGGCTGCGTTCAGAAATATCATCCAATTGTCCTTGTGTAAAATGATCTATATAAGGTATTTAAATAATGTTTGCGAACGCAGCTTTGTGGCTAGAAAGAAAGCAATGAACTAACTTCATTAGAAATATATTCCATCTGCAGTCATGGACATAGGAATATAAGGGGACAGAGCACAAAGTCGTAATTTAGGCAAGGGGAGTGAATCGTCATGCGAGGGAAAATTCTGCCTAGTTAATCCCCTCCACAGCAAAAGCATAGGAATACTCGGCCTATTATATATGTGTTGTATTACACGAACACGAGACTTATATCATTGCGCTTGCGTAACACTAACAGCCAATCAAATTTAAGCAGAATTTACCTCGTCGCACCGTCTCGCAGTGGCTTCCCCTTCGCAACTCTATGCTCTGTTCCTTAGATTCCTATGTCCATGTCTGTAGTCTGCAGCAGAAAGAAGCCTGTATGTAGTCTGATATGAGCTAACAGGAATAGAGTATTTAA